ATTGGATTATCACTTAAAAACTATGACTGCGATATGGAATGATTTCTATCGTAATTTCCCATAGTTAGTGCTTGATAAAACTTTGCTTCGAACGTAGTTAGCGATAGGTAAGACGTATTTGAATATTGTCTGATATATTTCATGGTGAAAAACTGTTGATATGTCATGGGTGAGAACAGACATCTAAAAATCATATAAGTTTGCATTATGAGAAAATTCAGTAGAATATACCTGTTTTCATGATGAATATTGCTCACTAAAATATATATCTTATAAGATAATCATGTATATTTTATTGGAGTTGCTTTTACTGATTTTTGACGTTTGTTGATATGTCGCGTGTAAATAGACATGTAGAAACTATTGGACTGTCATTTAACTTTGCAGTATAGGAAAACATGTATATCTCATTGTAATAGCTTGCTTTGATTTTTGACGTTTAAAGATTGTAACAGATCTATCCCAATCATTAAATAGTCATATAGAAATGCCTTTTAAGAAATCCAACAGCAAGCATTTGTTTTTGCATGTTTTTCTGGAATGAATATCGCTCCCAATAAAATACATCTTACATGATTGTTCTTTATAAATTATTGAAACAATTTTCAACGATGTTATCGTACACTCATTAAAATGATTAGTTGAACTAAATACTACTAACAACAATGATACTGTATTGAATAATCTTTGTTTGTTTCCGGAAAAGAATGTATTGAGATTGAAAAATAAAATGATTCTACTGCAATATTTACTTTGCTATGATTCTAATTGTAAGCCTTCTACACGGCTAATTCAGATTCCAGTCCTAGTACTCGAACTTTATGAACCAGTTACATCAACTTATATAATTTAGTCGTTGATTTATTGCACACAGGTGCATTAAGAAAGATTTGAACAAAACACACCACCGAAACGGAACATAAATTTGTCAGTGCTATTTGTCTTCACTCTAGCAAAACAAGCATAACGTTGCACTGCATTCCATGTCGGGAGAGCTGTTCTTACTTCATGCTATTTGAACGAGCTCAATCTTGAAGTCAGCCGTGGCCCAGTGGAATCGAGCACAGACATCGAAAGCATCACACCTCAACAGATCTTGATCGAATCCCAAATCAGCTACAATAAAAAAAAGGCACAACTGTGAAAGCTCCCACTGCCTGATGTTTATTTTTCGAATTTATTTTTAGAAATCGATTAAATATATGTGTCAAAAGAAGAAGTAAATTTCATGTTATTTTCACATAAACTTTACTTCGATTGATTTATGACACATATATTATATTGTGGTGAAAAGTGTAGCTTATGCTTATGGGTTTCAAATCCATTTCAGTTAATTATTATAATTTGATCGATTTTCATTTATCATACGACGATCATATAGAAGTTACCAAATTATCAGCATTGTAAATGTATCAGATATTCATATAGAATTTACCTGGCACATTTTCAATCATATAATTTTCAATGGATTATCTTATAGCGCAAATTTATAAGATTTCCACATAACAGGAATATGTCATATTGGTTCAGTGTAGATCTGTCAAGCCAACACATACACTCTAAAGTACACTGTTATTTTTTTAATCAATAAATTCGCCAACCAACAGTAAAATAACAATAATATATAATGTTATTGAAAAAAAATTATATGGGAAAATCATGAAAATTTCATTGTTAAGATACTTAACAACCCCCCTTTTTTATTGTAAATTTTCCATTTACCATGAAATTTATTGTTTTGTACAACATAAATCAAGGTAAATTTATTGTAGACGTAACAACATAAATCATTGTTAAGACAATAATTTTCGTCTTATTGTTACATTGTTTTTTAATGTATTTTTGTTGTTATTTTTTTTTCGGGTAGCCTATTGGTCCCAAGTAAATCGATTAACGTATCCCATTCTAGCCGAAATTCTAGTACTACACAATGTTTGTTTTGATTCGCTATGAAAGTTTGACAGATAAAATGAGGGGCTAGTGGATTTTCTTATGTTTCGAGGGTTGAATCGATTAGCTTGGGACCGAAGAGAGTACCAGAGCTGAGCCAAAAAGTTGAGCACGTTATTTCGGGAGCTTCTAGTCTTAGAGTTACCTCTATGGTTGTACCATAGAGGTAACTCATAGACTAGTAGCTCCCGAAGAAACGTGCTCAACTTTTTGGCTCAGCCTGGTACTCTCTTCGGTCCCAAGCTAATCGATTCACCCCTCGAAACATAGAAAAATCCATTAACCCCTCATTTTATCTGTCAATCTTTAATAGCGAATCAAAACAAACATTGTTATTTTCATATTGGTTGTTGATTGTACACAATGGTGACGTAGGACTACGTGGTCTTGTGTAATAAATCTTATTTGTTAACTGCAGCAAAAGCTTGTGTTTTGTGTAGGAATATGAATTTGAGCGTTTATACTCTTTAGTATGACGCGCTTGACATAGATGGCCCACTGCGATGCGATCTATGGATGCTCATGTGGGCTCCAGCTCGCTGCTTGCAGGCAGCCTTTCGTTGTGAAATGGACGCGGTGATTGAATAAACACCATTTGGTGAGACCGGATCGAATTCAACTTTGAAATCTGTGTTAGGGAAATCGCTTTTCGCAGGCAATCGGTAATAATTTTATGATAGTAACAATTGCACATTCGTGCAATTTTCAATAGTGATATTTTGAAAAATGATACAGTCTCAGATTTAATATATGCGTAGAAATATTTCTGATCGATTGGTGATAAAATTATTGAAATTGGCCCAGGGACAGCTGAGTTATAAAAGTTCAAAATCTTTCATAATTTTGTTACATGTTCCATTTTCGGTTTTCACAAAGTGTACCCCCATATAGAAATCACAGACGTAGTCCTACGTCAAAAGTTGAGCACGTTTCTTCGGGACCTACTAATCTTATACCCCGTACAGACTATGGCTTATATCATGTAATATAGGCTGTCTTGCAATGAGCACTCATACAACTAGTTTTCACTGGAAATCCTATGTATGAGTGAGACAGCCTATATTACATGATATAAGCCATAGTCTGTACGGGGTATTATTCATAAAATGTATAAGCTGACGCCTTGCAAAAAGCGTAATGAAGATCATGTGTCAAATGAAATGTATAAATGGTCACACATAACGTTTATGCATTCTTATAAGACCTATGTGGTTTGTATTATGGAATATATAAACACGGCTGATGTTTTGACAAAAATCTATAAGTGAAACACATGAATAAAATAATTAATTTTCGTTACGTGTAACTTGCATTTTGGGCTTTTAGAAACAGCTTTGTCGAATAATGTCGTTAAGATTTGGACCATCAAACGTAATGTTGTTTTTGAAATCCACTAGGAAACTAAAAGTTTGAAGTTACTTTTCGATACACGCTTTACTTCTTTCAGAATTCCCTATTTTAACTATCACCGACTGTTAGCGACGCGATTGATTTACACGTGCGAAGGAACGCTATCGCTGCTAACAATTTATTTTATTTTTCGGGTGAAGGAGTACTCGACCAACTGCAAGTTGGAAACCTTGCTATTTTCAATTTTATTGAAATTCCCGCAGGACTCAAAGCTAGTTGCTCTAACCAGGGTGAGAGCCTATACTTATTGAGTCCCGAGCAAAGTCTGAGATCAAATTGAAATCTAAATTTGATGTTTGTGATTTCATTATCAGGCGAAATTACTCAGGTTGCTGTCGTTTTGGTCGTTTTAACGGTTAAAATATCAAAATTGAGACCAAACAAATCTTTCTGTGACATCACATTGAAAACTATTTCTGCTATCAGTGAGAGCAAACTGAAAACTAAATTTGATATCCATTTTCGTGTTGATAACAAAACAAGTATTCAATTTGATGTTATGCTAAGGCAATGAAAACAAACCCGCCACAACATATTTTTGAAGAACAAATTTACAGCAAAATGAAAACAAAATAAGGTATCAAATTTGTCAATTGCGTAAACTTAAATCAAATTATGATTTCAGTTTGATTTTGATATCAAAACTTGATTTCAATTTGCTGTCATTTTGATGCTGAACTTTGATCGGGGAGAGTCTCAATCAATTGAAAATATAGTTTTTAGCTCAGAAATACCGTTGAGATTTTATGCCCAAGAGCCAGTACTGTAACTATTGTGAGAGCCTATTCTACTTTGGGAATCTACAGTTTTTCTTGAACTAGAAACTTACCAAGGAGTTTTCGGATGAAAACAACGATACAGCCGCATTGAGTATCACTTATGAACTAACTTTATTCTACAATTATTTTCCCTTGTATAGCGAAATCCTATCCTAAAAATGATCCTCGAGAAGAAAAATTCCCTAATCTAATGTGTAGGTGAAAATGGGACAACATTAAAAAACTAGATTCCTTCCTACATTTATCACCTTCATTCTCTCCTAATTTACGTAAAGGTATTAGTACACGAGACAATATTTGTCTTAATTTGACAGATACATTAAATGTATCTGCCAAATTAAGACAAATATTTGTCTCGTGTACTAATACCTTAACAAACTTCCACCTCGCAACGCTTTCAAAAAAAAATCCAGGTTAAAAATATAAATGTAGACGTGTCCCTACGCCCTTCTGGCATGCGCTTATCTATCGTGCAGTGCATATCCTACAACTCTATTCTAAGCTATACCTGAGCGCGGCAGACATAGACCTAAATAAACAACACTAGTCTTGTAATATTTCGTTCCACTTTCTTTGCAAAACGTTATCCTTATTACCTGTTTTTACTTTACGAGGAAACATGGTTTGTCTGAAATACAATTATTTTCATACTCTGATCTTTCCTTGATAATTAATGATGTTGCTTAATTAGCAAATGCCGCGTTCGCAACACCGACAAAGTTTCATAAAAGCATATTATGACCGCCTTCCATTCGACTTGGAACCACTGTGACGTGCATCATTATCGGAACCGTACAACAGTCTCCCACTCACATTTGATCTGTCAAAATCAGCTGTTGTTTTGTTGTCATCGGAGGACACTGTTATTCGTGTTTTAGCAATCAAATTTTCGGAAGAAAAAACTGCATCATTTTCAAACAATTTCACGATGAATCTCAAGAACGAGTAAGATTCAGCATAATCTCGTAAGTAAAGCCTGTAATTTACCGCTCAACCTTACCAATTCCAGCATCAAAATAATGCCCCGTTCGATGGTCTGCGAGGATAGCAACCTTCGCGGTGACATCACAATCTCCAGCGGATGCGTAATCCACCCCAGTACGACCATCATTGCCGAATCGGGACCGATCGTCCTGGGCGAGAATTGCATCGTCGAGGAGTACGCAACCATCGTCCACCGGATTCCGAAAGGCCATCCCTCGTACAACGACGTCCTGGAAGGAACCGTCAAGCCACTGGTCATCGGACCGGATAATATATTCGAGGTGGGATGTACGGTGGAATCGCTCAAGATCGGCGAGAGGAATGTGTTCGAATGCAAATGCCACGTATCGGCAGAAGTGGTCGTGACCAATGGGTGTGTGATTGGAGCCGGCTGTAGGCTGATCGGAGAACAGATTCTGCCCGAAAAAACCATCGTCCACGGGAAACAGTGCCAGCAACGGGAGGCGATTGAGAAACAGAAGGTAGCTGTGCATGATTATTGTGGTACCTACCCTAGTTGGTGGCGTTGCTAATGTTGGGTTTCTTTTGCGTTTCAGTCCCAGATGGTGCAACTTGACTACTTGCGGAAGATATTACCGAATTATCATCATTTGAAGAAAGCTACGTACGATCCGAAGAAAGCACGAGCACAAGTTTGATTGCGGGAAAATGCGCAAGCTGATTAGTTTAGTATTAATATTGTTATTCCTATTAATGTTCTAATTTGGAAATTTGGTCAAAATCCGTTCCATTTTGTTGTACGTAACATTTGTCATTCACACGCGTAGGTAATTTTCAGTTAATTCCGGCATTTTAAAGTTCTAAAAAACATACATATGGATAATAAGGATAAAGGATTTTCTTTCAAGCGCACAGCCTACATTTTTATTCAAGTAAACTTTAGTCATGTCTTCATCCTTTGTTTGTACTATGAGTGTACCAATTTCATGTCTGGTTTTGGCCTTCCCAAAGGTATGGAACAATTGAAACATGTCCGGACAAGGGCGTACCGTGAGGGCTCCATATTTGACGCAGCCAAGAAAATATCACATTCAATGTTTATTTAAATGATCAATACACGATGAACTTCTTTGAAATTTTGCGTGCCACTATTTAAAATGTTTAAGAATTGGGCAAAAATATAAAACTTGACGAACGGTTGGGAAAAAATTACTTTTGATATCGTAGGTCGTGTGCCTAATAATGGCACACTATTATCGAAAACAACATATCAAGAAGACTGGCAAATCTTTCATTTTCTCATACAACCGGTATGAGACAGGCACAATTGCGTCATCTGCCGCTCAAAGGTAAATGCTCCTATAGAATTGGATAGCAAAGGTTCCATCCTCAGAAGAAAAGTTTCTGTACTGAGTAAACGAGAAATCGACAGTAAACTGAGTAAACGAGAAATCGACAGATTCATAAGGGCGTATACGCGATGATCGATTCTCTTCATCGATTTTCTCTTTTCTTAATAACTCGCTAGATTTAACGTTTGTCGGTGCGTTTGTTGTTGCTTTTGAAAGCCAATACAACCTATTACAACTCTACATTGAACAAATTCTACAAAATTGTTTCGCTTAGCTGTAACAATGCAAAGAGAAAAACGATGAAGAGAATCGATCATCGCGTATACGCCCTTATGCATGCTCACTGTCGAAATGTCAAATTGAGTAAAAGCAAAGACATCATATCAAGAAGACTGGCAACTTTGCCTGAATCTAAGTGACAGACACAGTAGCGCTGCGCTCGAGCAAAGGTGGAAGCAACGCATAGAAAAATGAGCAAATACACAATCCTCTCTTCTGATGATGTAATCTTTGCTATCAAATTCGTTCGAAGCATTTACCTTCCCGCATAAACGCGAACCATAAATTGACCTTACCTAAAATGGTTAAAAATTGTTTATAATCCCTGCTAAACTTTAACTGAAATGGTTATGGAACTTTACATGAACGTTTAATGATAAAGTTTCAACCTTATGTATTATGGTTTTTTGGAACTGGACCTTACAAATAATGGGTTGTTAAGAACCATTACCATTCCAAATTCTTGTTTTCTCCATACATTTTCAGAAAGAGAACTATATAAGAACGTTTTTACTTATGATTTGAGAACATTAATGGTAATGGTTATGGTAGTCAGTAAGGTCCATTAATGGTTTTGTATTATCGCTCAACTTTACGTGGAATATATCGTGAATTGGTAATCAGTAAATTACAGGCAACCAATTCGCGATATATTCCACATAAAGTTGATCGATGTTATAAAACCATTCGTGGACCTTACTGACTACCATAACCATAACCATTAAAGTTCTCAAACCATAAGTTAAAAGGTTCTAATATAGTTCTCTTTCCGAAAATGTATGGAGAAAACAAGAATTTGGAACGGTAATGGTTCTTAACAACCCATTATTTGTAAGGTCCAGTTCCAAAAAACCATAATACATAAGGTTGAAACTTTATCATTAAACGTTCATGTAAAGTTCCATAACCATTTCAGTTAAAGTTTAGCAGGAATTATAAACAATTTTTAACCTTTTTAGGTAAGGTCAATTTATGGTTCGCGTTTATGCGGGTTTGAGCGGCAGATGACGCGATTGTACCTGTCTCATAGCGTTCGTATGAGAAAATGGAAGAGTTGCCAGTCTTCTTGATTTGTTGTCTTCGGTAAAAGCCACTCAGTCAGCAAAATCCTGGACTTAGAAAAAAATTTCAACCATGTTGGAGGAAACGTCCTAGAAAACGGGTTAACGTTTCACTCAAAATGGGCGGAAATTCCTTCATGTAAGAAGAAATTGCTTAGGGCAATGGTGTTGAACTAGAAACACTGGAATAAGAGACCAGCGGAGAAAAAAAAACATGAATTTGGCAACAAAATAAACATCAAAGCAATCCTGGCATCACTTGCTTTGGTAACTGCTTGCGAGTGACTTCGCCAATGCACCGACGAGCGAGTTCATGAGTGATTGTTTAACGATTTTAATACTCCTCCCTAATTAGGTTTTGCACCGTCGGGCCCGTCGGGTTAACCTCAATCTGATGACAGTTCAGTGGTACTGTTTACGTGGACTTAGTCGATTTTTTCTTGGGTGGATTTTCTCGATAATTTTTCAGACTGCAGTGAGATGTAAACAGCATTTCTGCAATGTTCACGAGCAACATCCTTGCAACGCGCTGTTCCTCGACATCTTTCAAGTTAAAATTCAGAAACTTTAGAAATTTTTTTTCGAAAATACGACTAAGGCTGTGAACCATTTGCCGAGTTAAATTTAACTCGTGGTTAAAAGTGACATTTCGAAAGTTATTTTCTATGTTCGAAAATCCCCGTGCTGTCGATCGACCGGTTTTCGAGCCACGGTTGTCAAAATTTAACTTCTTGCCTGTCAGAAATAACCATGCTCGGATAGCAGGGTTAATCGATAACTTTTCATCTGTCAAATTTTAACCAAAAGTTAAAATAATCCACCAAATGGTTCAGAGCCTAAGTGCTTGTAAACAGTACCACTGAACTGTCAAAAAAGTTCAGCCGTTTAACACTGAGTTCATTTGTGACGTCACGCTGCAGAACCTAATTCTAGTGTTTCTATAGTGTTGAACCATTTTCTGCTCCGGTACACTGAACTAAAACATCCGCAATACTCCGACCAGCTCCGACCTAACTAATTGCATTGCTCGAGCCCTTTAACAATATGCATTCGAATTTCGGATGAGTTTCTTATGGTTGAATTCTCGCTTGAATGACTGTCATCCAAATACAGGATGATTTTCGTTTGAAAATTAGCTTTAAAACATACGGCACTCAGAGGACATTTAAGAATAATGTGACATGCAAGTGCTTTTAATTAGATTTATAATTTGATTATCTACATTTCCATACTGAATAGCTTGGGGCAAGACAGCTTTCGATCATGAGTATAATCGGAGTTAATTTTGAGTAACTCTGAGTAACTCGCATTGTTCAACAACATTTACACATAGCAACCTGGTTGTTGTGTGGAAACCGCTGCTGTCAAGCAAAGATAATTCAGTGGCAACATTTCAAAGGGGCTTAGTTGCATTTGTAAATTTGTAATACGTATTTCAACATTTTAAGCGGTGTCCTTTCAAACTAAAGCTTAACCGAGAAGATATTTCGGCAATTGCACTTTCGTATAGCACGCTGCGAAACATTAGCAACCACCTAATACGGATTCTGATGGACAATCACAAGAAGGATTCAGGACAGTCCCAGAGGGATTCTGGACAATCCCTAGAAGACTTCGAACAATCTCTGGAAGGATTCCAGTCTATCGAAAAGGGGATTTATGACGGAGGGACTCTGAACTAACCGAGAGGTGATTCCAGACAATTTAATTATCAGAAAAGATTTCATACACTATCAGTACGGCTTCCGGACAATATCAGAGGGGACTTCGGGCAAACCCGAAGGGATTCTGGACAGTCAAAAGGACGATTTCAGTAAAAATTGAGGGGCATTCATGACAGTCCAAAGAGGATCCCAAACAATCCCAGAATGGATTCCGTTCAATTCCAGGGAGATTCCAGACAATCTCAGAGAGGACTACAGTCATCCCAAATGGAGGATTCCGAACAATTCTAAGTAGCATGACAAAAAAGAGATGAAGGAATTCTAGCATCCCTTCGACGATCGCTCATGTAAGTGTCGGAATAGAATCAACTATGATGTGCCCAAAACTAATCTATTGTGACTTGGGATGAACAGCTACATAAAAGGCCGCATGTGCTAAATGTGGATCATCACAACAACACCAGGCGATGAAAATTTAACCCGTTTCTGATCACAATTTTCAACTGTCTGTTTCTAATAGTACGTTCAAACGCTGTACAGACTGGAGAGTTATAACATGTTATAACGGTTGTCAAATAATTGCAACACAGAAACCACCATCAAGATAGCGCTATAACATGTTATAACTCTGTAGTCTGAACGTACTATCAGACTACAGAGTTATAACATGTTATAGCGCTATCTTGATGGTGGTTTCTGTGTTGCAATTATTTGACAACCGTTATAACATGTTATAACTCTCCAGTCTGGACAGCGTTTAAAACGCGGGCCCAGCACAGCAAAATATGTTATTTGAGCCCGGGACATGCTGCCTACTGTCAAACGCTGCTGTTGGTATAGGCCTTGTCACTGGCCTGTGTTTTCTAGGGGAAAATCATCTGATTTCAAAACAACCGTCATCCGCTGCAGGTACACAGCAAAAAAAAAAATGTAATATCGATCAATGTAATTCAAGCTGATGTATGAAATAATGATGTAATAGCAAAAAGCAGATACAATATTACATCAATGGATGTAATTTTGCTCGCAAAATCGATGTACATCGTACAACGTTATATTACACAACCGATGGATTGACCTGGTTGCAGCAGTTTGGATGTAATATTCAACAACTTTTTTTTCTGTGTATCATGTTCAAACGATGTTCTCACATAGACTGATTAAAATCCACTCAGCGATATGTTCAGTTGCTGGGGGGGGGGGGGGGTTGTTTTGATTTTGTTTTGTTTTGGAAATGAAAATTGTCTGCTCCGGATTCATTAAACCGGAGCAGAAAATGGTTTAACACCATTGCCCTAAGCAATTTCTTCTTACTTTTCTGCCGAGGGGGCGACACATCTAATTCTCAAGTTAAGATGCTCAACAAATCTCACACTAACGAATCTATCTTCGAAAAATCTTCTTTCATTTGCCGCATCTACTTGCATCGCTCATCATCTTTTTGCAGGAAATCTTCAGAATCGTCATCAATCTTCTTTCTACCTACTCAGCGTGCGCCCAGCTAGCCACAGCAAAACACAATCTTTTTTGCATCGTAGATAGAGTTATCCCCCTCGTTTTCTGCCCATTTTGAGTGAAACATTAACCCGTTTTCTAGGACGTTTCCTCCAACATGGTTAAATTTTTTTCTAATGGCGGTAAGCTCCAACTCGGATTAACTTTTAATACCGTCCCTGTTTGTATGATCTGAAAAATGTTTGCTCAGAATTATGTTGATTAACTCTGATGTCGACATCAAACCAGCCGGACATTCTTGATCGGGATTTA